TTCAAAATTAAAGGACGTGTCCATTTCATAAGCTCCATTAATGCAATGTGAGCTTCTTGACGTGAAATAAGCCTTGTTATAAGTTTTACTACATTTTTCTCTTGTTCAGACCTTAACATTTGAAAGGTGGCAAGTAATTCCCAGTTGTGTCACAGATCAAATAGAATGGATCAAGGATAAAAGCAGTTGTTTCCCAAACAGGGCAGTAGTTTCTCTTAAACATTTTATCAATCAAACACCTTGTGTGCGTGATTCTCATTGACATGAAACTTAGCACACCAGTCCTTGGTTTTCAGTCGAAGCTCCTCCCAGAGTGGTAAACATTGACCGATTATTGCTTTTTCTTTCTCAGTCTCTTGATCCATCCCTTTGATTAACCAAACCAACGAATGAAGTGCTCCTAATTCGTTCCAGAAATAAGACCTCATTGTTTCTTTAATCTCCTTCCCGATTTGATTAATCAGAGCACACCCGTTGTCCCTTCTTCCTCCTCGCTCTCTTCTTACAGCACCCTCCATCGAGTTCTCCCTTTTTCCATCTTCTGAATCGCACACAAATATTTCCTCTGTTTTCCCTCTGATCGAACATAACTCTCAAAATACCCAAACCTTTTTTGCGTCAGTGTTTAATTCAACAAGAAATGAGATTAGGTCCCCCACACCCTCTGAATCCATTTCGGAATTAATATGATGGTATAAGGTGGCTTAATAGAGGTGTGGTGGAGAAGACTATGAATAAAGCACGGGGTCGCAGATGAGGGAAGAAGTCTGCAATTTTCGCTTTCCCCTCTTCTCCCTTTTCTCATCGAAAAAGGAATCAGTGTAGAATAGGAGAATCAGTGAGAAAGAAAGCTCCACATGAGCACATCCCTCTTCATTATTATTGACAAATTTATTATTATCTAGATATCTATATACTAAATTAAAAGAAAATGAAACAAAAAAATAGAAAGCAATGGGAGAGAAAAGAGTTAAATTGAGAAAAGGAAATTAAATACATACATTTGTTGGAAATAGAAGTTAAAGGAATTGGTTTTAATATATAAAAAGAATTAGATTTCCAAAGAAAAATAAAGGGGGAAAGAAATAAAAAAATAGAGAAAAAAAGAAAAAAGAGAGAGAGGTGCGACCAAAATATACCACATTGCGGTCAAGTCCGACCACCCAAATATAGACATTGCGGTCAAGTCCGCACCCAAACCGCAGAGAGGGGCGGTGTTCGCTGCCTAGGCGGCAATGGTGCATTCCCTCTACCGTACCACTCCCCCAAACCTAAGTAAAAAAGTTGAAATATATTGGAATTCATCTGTAACATGGTTAAGTTTAAAAAAACTAGAATCCGGTCAGGAGGCCATCCAACTGATGGATCACTCGCATGTTTAGATTGCTTATTTGATTGTTTGAATTGCATGAATTAAAACGTGTTTAGTAACTTACTACTAAGTTATTTGAAAGTGTTTATTGTAAGTTAAAAGAAATTTGTTATTTCATCATTTTTAATCCAAAATTTTATTTTTGGTATTTTACATATATAAACATAATTTACTAAACAATCAAAAGGATCCTTTTGAATATATATTCAATATACAAAATGATATAGAAAAAAAAAAGATTTAGATACAAACTAGAAAGTTACTCTCCCTGCTTCGCGGAAGAGTCTACTTATATGAATCATTATTATAGACAAAACACACACACTTGCCCTGTTGTTGATGCAAGCACCTCTATTAAGGTGTTGTTTGTTTTTTCTGAGACAAAATGTCTACAGTCTGCGTACCACATCTGCAGATCTCTACAGTGGAAGAGGTTGGACCAAACGTCTACAGTTTGAAAGAAGAAAATTGTTTGTTTTTTAACATCTGCAGACTTCTAGAATAAACTACAATTAAATTAAACTGATTATTTGAAAAAAATTAAAAAGTTTTTCAATAATTTTATAACTTTATTATAGATAATTAACAAATGTAGATCAACTTTTATGTATTATTGTAAAAAAAATTGAAAATAAAATAGTACGAATTAACGTATATATTTGATAAAAACCAACAAACTTTGGTTGCAAAGTTATACCTAAACATTGTAATTATGGATAAAAAAAATTTAACACATAAAATGGATGGAAATAAACTTTGATTCTAAATGAAAATTTCAAAATTTTCATTTTACTTTTTCAAAATCAATTAAAAACTAGCCATAAATATTTTTCCCTTGAAATAAATGATACCGCATTAAATAATGTTTTACAAAATTTGGCACAAAAAATATAAGACAATATTAAGATTTTTTTTCATATCTTATATAAACAGCTCCAACGACCATTATTGTAATTAAATATTTATTTATAAATTTGTCACAAAGGTCATGATTGTGTCATCGAACCTTTTTTCCTTAAGTAGTGTAAGTTTTTTTTTTTCCAAATTGTTATCATTGATAAAGTTGGAATAAATCTAAGTTTAAAAAAAACAAAGATATATGTGTTTTTTAGGCTAGAAGACGCCTGAAGAGGTTTGCAGACTCAGATCAAGAAGAGGATGTGCAGACCTTTTTAGGTCTGTAGTCTTCTAAAAAACAAACAGTCTGCGAAACATAATGTCTGTGTGTGGTCTGTACGATGCAGACAAAAGAGTCTAAGAAAATCTACAGACAAAAACAAACAACACCTAAGTTTAATGATCTGAAATTAATCTCTTAATCTATCATTGGCTGACAACGATGGTGAGGAGGTGTTGAGGAGTGAGGTGAGCCATCGATTGAGCATAACACCGGTCGACCCATTCGAGTCGTAACATCATAGAAGGGTGCGAAGCCATAATCGGCAGCGATAGCCCTAACCTAACCAACGACGGTCGACATAACTTCTCCGTTATAAGCCCGTTTCCGACGATCCTTATATCCACGGAAAGGTAACGAGAAGACCTACACTTCTATCAACTGATACCATCCTTAAGACCTTTTCGAACAAAAAGCTAATTTCCACAAAAGCCCGAACTGACACTTTACCGAAATACCCCTAGGCTCCAAAACACGAACCAAACACCTGGATCACTTTAAATACATCACTCGCATCCAAATGGGCCAAGATCCCACCTTTTCAAAGGCCCTAATCCTTATGATAACTGGTGATCGGGCCAAGACCCTGAATGATGAAGCGATTAGAAACTGAGTGTTACACAGTATTTAGCAAAGTGGTTTCCGAGACCACATTTGTGACAAATAACCTTAGGTTTGACTGAGTTCGGAACGTCCTGAGGTTCTGAAGAACGATTTAGAATGTTGGGTCGGTATACTGGTGGATTTTCAATAGTTTTAGGGTAAGGTTGAGGATTGCTTTGGTGAGGAGCTTGAAATCTGTTTTAGGAAGGTTTTTTATTGGGGTTCCAAGGACGTTTGTACTTCATAGATAGAAGTGCAAACTCTTGCTAAAAACGAAGTTCAGAATCAGCGACTTCTGGATCAATGTCTTCTTCGTGCGGGTAGTTCGGAATTGGAGGAACAGGTGTGACAGGTGGAATGGTTCGTGTAGGTTGAACAAGTGGGATGACTCCAAAATGATCCGAAACAGACGGGTTCGGAATCAGTGGATTGACTGAGCTGACTAAAGCGAGATGACCTCCTGAAAGTTCTCTCAACATTTGAGCAACGTTGGATTCATGACCTTGTAGTTCATCAAATAATTGATAGAGCTTTAGTTTCTTCAGAGATCCATTAATCTGAAAACATACCTTAACGTTTCCCCATCCTTTTCCTAAGTTGTTGATGAACTTGAGATTGTACTCGAGTGGAGTTCAGACTACTCCATGTGCCGTCATTTTACTTCACCATGATCCTATACCAATTTGATGCAGAGGCTATAGATTCACCAGGAGTTATAGTGAAGGTGTCAAAGTCTTTTACAACAGATGTCAAACGCTTATACTTCATGTTCTCTGAAGCTTCAGACAGATCTTGTAGTGTATCCCAAATCTCCTTTGCAGATTTGCACAACCTAATGTGCTCAAAGAGTAATGGAGGTACACCAAAAGCCATTTCAGAGAAGGCGACTTGATCTGCGTGAAGCTTCTCGATGTCTGATGCATTCAATGGTGCTTGTTGAGCCTCCTATTGGCCCATGAAAGTGGAAAAAGAATCTCTAACCACTTGTCTTACTGGAACACGACGACCTTCTTTCACTAATCTCCATATTTCTTCACCTTTTTCTTTACCATTAAACATCTCTTCATTCTAACTTTCCAGTGATCATACTCTTCAACAACTAGCAATAGGCATGCATTGGGCAACCCACGCTATTTGTTATTTGCATTGAGTACGTTTGTTGAGATTGATTAGAAGCAGCCATTGAAGTTAAGATATTAGAGCTGAAGTGGTATATAGAAGAACTTTTATCCTGAACAAGAAATGATTGAGATACCAAAGTAATCTTCAACCAACTTAAATATGTTCTTATAGATTCAAAGGACAACCACTTAGGCTCTGATACCAATTGTGAAAACAAGGATCTACTTGGACAAGGTTTAAAAACTCAAACCTTGAATTAACTTAAGATCAATGTCTATTAGTAATAAATATCCAGTCAAGTCTGATAAACCAGTCTTGTCTCGAAATTAAGAAGTTCAACAAAGCGATCAAAGTGAATAAATAATAAGTATGAATAGTGTAAAGAGATTCAAGAACATTAAGAATGTTAGAGATAATGATTGTCCGAATGATTCTTGATATTGATGAGAAATATGCATGTTCCACACATGATACAAAGGTGACCACTCCTTAAATAGTCAAGAAGTATCAAGACAAATCTGATAAAGTGCATGGACTAAGAGACATATGAAGATCAACAGACTGACAGGGCCGGTCCATTAGTTTTTCATGCCCGGGGCGAAATTATAAAATAATGCCCTTATGTCCAAAAAAATATATTTTTATTATTTATATCTACTTAAATAAATAAATAAATAATACACAAATTAATATAAACATCAACAACAACTAATGAAACTAACTACAAACAATTAAATTGTTAATTCATATATTATCAAAACACTAAAAATAAAAATATTATGTACTTTTCAATTACAAAATCTCAACAGCAAGCAAACTCCATTTACCATGTCCATTTCTTTTATTTTATTCCCAGAACAGGGGATGCTATCACTTATCAAAAAGTTTCTACAACTAAACTTCAGTCAAAGGACAAAGAATTACTTATTTTCATCACTGTTACTCCAATTAAACCGTTTTCACACTTTAAGCACAATAAGAGTTCATCTGTGAACAATATCTTGACTCTTCAATGATACTTTTATCCACAACACTGTAAATTTCATAACCTGATGAACCCTACAAAATAGGGGGGAAAAAGTAATATTAACAACAATATTGAAAAATAAAGCAAATTATACCTAAACTTTCAAAACAGATGAAAAGTTCCTAAGATAAAAGTAGCTATAACATAATGAAACAACCAAGTTTAAAACCATACCTTGAGTTCATACATAATTGCCCTTAGACCGGTTGCAACTATGACCATCTGTATATGATGTGGAACATACAACAGATCACCAAAACCCTACAAATGGAAACTAATAAAAGCCAAAAAGCAAAATACTAACCAAAAGCAAGTTGGATCACTCTATTCCTAACTCTTACTGTTGTTCTTTGAACAACAAAAAAAAAAAAAAGACATTCTAAATTTATTTTCTTTGGAATTTCATCAAAGCTTGGTGAGCACAAACTTAACATCTTGACAAAAATTCAAACCACCAAATTCTTCCAATTAGCTCATTAAATTCCCTACAAAATCGCTCCTTTTTGTATGAAATCAACATCATATTCATTGAAACCTCACATATCTTTAGTTTTTGGTATCTGCTTCAGCAAAATATCAAACTCCGAATACAGTGAACATCAATCAGAAACTGGCATGAAAAGAAAGAAATCAGAATAAGAAAAAACGGAAATCAGAAATCAAACTCACCCACTCAGAAATCAAAAGCCCTCAAAATCTTTCATATCTTCGATGTTTGCTTCATAATAATAAAAAAATGAACTCATACTAGAAGAAGGGTATCAACAATCGGGTCCAAGTTAACCACCATAAAGACGCAAACACTTGAAGTAACACAAATCGGAATTTGGATTATTAGATAATATAGCAAACACGTGCAGTAGCTTTAACTGAGAAACAGAGAAACAAGAATGAGAATGAAATAGAAATAGAAATCAACAGTTTAGAAGGATGAAAAAGTACCCAGTCGATTAAAGGCTCCTCGATCTCTACATATTTCGGTTGTCTAGATGATTGATAGGTTTGGCGATTGGTATTCTCAAGATCCTTGGCGCTTACGCTTTTAGCTTGTCGATATTTACCTCCCAGTCCCAACGCCTCACGAGACGCAGACACTGAACTTGGACCACTTGTTGGACTAAACTTTGGACCAAAGTCATGGTATATACATTTATTTATCGGACTAGATTTATGCCCCACTTTTTTTTGATGCCCTGGGCCATAGCCCATCTCGCCCATATATGGGGTCGGGCTGACACAATCGTTGTTGTCGATCTTGTCTCTTGTACTATACTAATACTAATGGACGAAAGAAACAATATAAAATAGTATTTGTAACAATAAATGCACATTACAGACTCATGATAGCAACAAAAGATAGACTCATGATAGCAACAAAAGATACATCACCTCGGAATGGATTCCACTTCGGAACACTCTCTCTTTGGACATGCTTCATGTCGGATTGATGAATGATCACTTTTCATGTATTAACAGTTTATAACAATAACCGTCGAACATCATTATCAAATAAAACACAGTATTTTGTATTTTCTAATGCCATGCACTCAGCCAATTTATCCACAGTCATTCACAGATATTCACCCACCAAGTTATTTTTAGGATTGCACAAGTTAAAAACAAAGTCTACTATATAACATATGATGAAATTAATGGTCAATATATTATTGAACCTACACATGCATAAATGTTTTGTTATTATAGCCGAATGTTTTGCAATGACAACTAACAAAAATCAAGGGCAAACTTTATCCACAGATTGGTTTGTTTCTTAAAAAACCTATTTTTACACATGATATATGTTATCTTATCTAGAGTTCAAAGTAGAGTCCAAAATAGCGATAGATTAAAATTGTTAATTTTAAATAATGATGATAGACTTACAAATAAAACTTCAAATGTTGTTTATAAAGAAGTTTATAGAAATTTATAAACAAATTATAGAATTTTATTTCTTATAATATCTTTTATTTATTAATAGTAAAACACATTTTATTCTGAATTCTTATTTGTAATTTATTATATGTTTTCATATTGTTTCTTAGGGCTAATGTCATAAAAACCCGTAAGTTTTCCAAAAATTGTCGATTTTACCCTTTGACATTTTTTAGGTTCAATAATGCCTAATATTTATACGAATTGTGTCAAAACTGTCATTTAACAGGTAACCAACCGGTTACCTGTTGCAAGTGAAGATTGTCCCCTCTTCTCCTTCACACTCACGTACACACACACAAACACATACTCCAAAATTGATTTGCAGGTTTGTCTTATGAAGCTTTCTAACACACACACACACCAGAATCGATGGAGGAATGGATTATTGGGAAGAACGATTCTATGTGAAGCCAAAAGACACTTCGATTTGAAGTCTCGTGTCTGTTCTTCTCCAGCCACTTTTTTCTTCATTATTTTCATATTTGGAGTTGTTATTTGGTAAGATGCTTGGATTTGTCTACTCAACAAAATCGATCCTTGGCATCCCAAATGATAAACGGCTTCTACTCTCTCGCGACATCTTTTTGTTTCTCTCTATCTAGCTAGAGGTGTGAGTCAATAGATAACTATATTTTACATTGCATATGTGTTTGAACTATAAACTAAAACCCAGATCCAAAATTAACATATTTCACAAAAGATTTTGGCGATTAAACACCCACCCTTGATAATGACCCATAGACGGAAACTTGCAACTTGCAGCTTGATTTTCACCTACAAAACTAAAACTAAAACCTAGATTGAAATATGAAACCTGCAACCTAATTTCCCCCTTCAAATTGAAATCGAAACCCATATTCAAATATGAAATAGTCAACTTGATTTTTTACCCAGACCCTCGCAACTGACCTAGGGAGTTAACAAGTATCAGGTTTCAATCGATACTTGATGCATCGATCTTTCTTTCTCTGGTTTGTTCTGCTTCAGTTTAGGTGTCCACTTCATTCACCACCATCATCAAACCCTTCCACTTCATTCCATCAAAAACCACAACCAAAATACCACTCTTATCCCTCCATCCAGATATCACCATCACACCCCCATCTTCACAGCCATCATTCATCAGTTTCACTTCCACACCCAAACCACAAAATCACACCCGCATTCTGAAATTAGAAAAAAAAAAGGAAGGAAGAAAAACTTGCTAGAAGAACTAAATACATCCCCTTTCACCTGCAAATCAAATTCACGAGTATTGAACTTCTCAATTGCTTGCTCTGTTTCAATTTTCGTATGAGGTTCGATTTGGTGCCTATGATCGAAACACAAAAAGGAGAAGCAGGGTGTGGGTTGTCATTGTGGCTATGTACAAAGAAGAGGGACTACGATTTGTTTAGTGAGATGCACCTGTTATTGATTGAAGAGAATAAGATGGAGAGTTTGTGCTCTTGTGTTGCTATAATTTGAAGAGAATAAGGAGAAGAAGAAGGTCATGTCTGGTTCGCATGAGGAGAAGAAGGTCAAGGGAAATACGACATACGATTATGGGGCGAAGAGGGGTAACAAGTTATAAGGGGCAAGGTTATAGACATGGGGAAGGATGTGGGACCATTCAGTGTAATTTACTCTAACCCCTCATACAGATGGCATGCCACCTGTGTAGTGACCGGTAGGTTGCCTGCTCAACCTATAAAAAGGGTAAAAATAAAAAAATTGTTACAAATGTTCGGTTTTACTGAACATAAAAAATGTGAAAGGGTAAAACCAACTTTTTCTTGAAAGCTTAAGGGCTTTTATGTCATTAGCCCTGTTTCTTACAATAACTTGATTTTTATTTTTCTATATAAGAATTGCGTTTTCAGAATTGATTGTGGTTGTTTTTTAAATATATTTGATTTTATATTATATTATATAACATTATTATTTTTTATAATAATTTACACACAAAAAGTGTTGTTATATCTTCAAACCGTTTTAGATATTAATTTTAACTAGAAGGAATTTGGTTGCGTCGTTGGCACTGGTTTGAATAATGTTTGGGAACAAAAAGCTGAAAATAATTCTTTGAAAACGGCATTAAAAGTTAGTAGTATATAAATAGAATTTGTTTATGTTGCAACTATCCATTACATTCCATTCCATCTGGCAACCGAATGAACAATTTCATTCCTTCCTTGATTCTATCATACCAAAAAAATGTACTTACTTATGCATGTATCATGGTCTCTTATATGCAAAAGGTCACCACGTCAAGATCATTATTTCACTTTAAAGTAACACAAAGGGATGTGAGAACTATTGAAACTAAGTGATAAAAGATACGATTCAACTCACAAGTTTCTGATGAGTTTTATTCAAGAACAAAGGAGGCTTTATATAGCCATTACAAATAACGGAAAGAAACGGGAAAAACTCTAAAAAAACAGATTCACAATCTCCCCTAATTCTCGTTCTACACGAAGAAGATGGAGAGGACCTGGTACTCCGGATTACTAAGTCATACTGACTCCTGGCTTTGGGCCTTATTCAAAAACAGACTAAACAACGTGGGCTAACTCAAACACTGAAAATAGCCCAATAAATTCCTTCCCTTAAACAAGTAAGCATTGAGCTTCTTGTTTAACCTCTTTCACTCCAAGTTCTTCCCTGATGAATTCAAAAGCAGCTAGTGTTAATGGTTTGGTCATCACATCTGCTAGTTGCTCTTTTGTGCCACAAAACTTCAGCTGTATTATGTCTTTATTCACCAGTTCTCTGATGTAGTGGAACCTCACATCTATATGCTTTGTTCTTCTATGCATTACAGGATTCTTTGACAGCTTTATGGTTGAACAGTTATCACACGTGACCTCCATAGTTCCTGTCTTTTCTTCAAGTTCTTCAAATAATCCTTTCAACCATACACAATGACGTGCACAATTTGTAGCTGCTACATACTCTGCTTCAGTTGAAGACAGCGTAACAATTTCTTGTTTTCTAGAACTCCAACAAATTGCAGCTCCACTGAACAGACAGACATATCCAGAGGTGCTTTTCCGGTCCTCTATATCTCGTGCATAATTGCTGTCAGTAAACACCTTTAACTTCTGATTTTGATCCTTCCCATAGTTCAGCCCATAGTTCATGGTCCCTTTTACATACCTCAACACTCGCTTTGCCACAGCCATGTGTTCCTCCTTAGGTTTTGCCATGTATCTTGCCAACAAACTTACCACATACATTAAATCTGGACGTGTTACAGTCAGATACATGAGACTTCCAATGAGACTCATATAAATGGTGTTGTCCACTTCCTTCCCTGCTTCTAGTTTCTCAAGCTTGGTACCTGGAACAATCAGATTCTTCACACTATTTGCTTCAATCATCTTGAATCTCTTCAGAACTTCTCTTGCATACTGTGATTGACACAAGGTGATACCTTCTGAATTTTGACTTACCTCTACTCCAAGAAAGTACCTCATTTGCCCCAGGTCTGTCATCTCAAACTCTTGTTGCATGCTTTTCTTGAACGCTTCACACAGCCCATGATCATTTCCAGCATAGATTAAATCATCTACATACAAGCTCACAATGATGATTTTATCCTGCTCTTTCTTCACAAACAGGGTATGGTCATAACTCTTCTTCTTGAAACCTTCCCTTAAAAAATAACCTTCAATTCGATTAAACCAAGCTCGAGGTGCTTGCTTCAATCCATATAGTGCACGCTTTAACTTGTACACCTTAGCTTCTTCTCCCCTTCTAACAAAACCCTTTGGTTGATTGACATGGACTACTTCCTTAAGCTCACCATTCAAGAAAGCGCTTTTGACATCTAATTGGTACACTATCCACCTTCTTTGAGCCGCCATTGCTAATAGACTTCTGATTATGTCCCATCGAGGTACTGGTGCGAATACTTCGTTGTAGTCTACTCCTTCTTTCTGGGCATATCCTTTTACTACTAACCTCGCCTTGTACTTATCAACTTTTCCACGTTCATTGATTTTGGTCTTGAATACCCATTTTACCCCTATGGGTTTTGCTCCAGCTGGAAGATCAACTAATTCCCAGGTATGATTCTTTTCTATGGCGGATATTTCAGCATTCATTGCTTGTCTCCATTTATCTTCTTTGCATGCTTCTTCATATGTTGATGGATCCTCCATCGCACTGTACATCGCGAATCCAGCTTCATCTTCATTAAACATGTCTCCCGCCATATAATAATCTTTTGTCCAAACAGGTGCTCTTCGATTTCGACCAGGTGGAGTGCTTTGTGAGTTTTCTGAGTCAGTAGAAACTGGACTGCTAGGATCTGCCTGTGTGTTATCAGTTTGAGGAGTGTCTTGGACTGGTGTGCCTTCTCCTACTTCTGGGCTTGGTGCTGGACTTGGCGAGTTCTGTGGAGTCTCTTCTCCTTGCGGTTCTTCTTGAGCTGATTCTTCGTCTTCTATGATCAATTCTTGTGTTTCTTGGTTTCCTTTTGGCCAATCCCAGGTTGCATCTTCGTCAAAGATCACGTCCCTGCTGATTACAACTTTATCTGTGACTGGATCATACAGCCGGTACGCTTTTGATTCTTGACTGACACCAAGAAACACACACTTGTGACTTCTTGAATCCAGCTTTGTTCGTAGTTGAGCAGGTACATGGACATGTCCAATGCATCCAAACACCCTAAAATGTTCAACACTTGGCTTTGACCCTGTCCACAGTTCTTCAGGTACTTTATCTTCTAGGCTTCTGCTCATGCATCGATTCAGCACGTGACACGCCCATCTTGCTGCCTCTGACCAAAAATATTTAGGCATGGATGTTTCTGTGAGAAGGCATCGAACCATATTCATTAAGGTTCGATTCCTACGTTCCGCAATCCCATTTTGCTGTGGGGTGTATGAGGCTGTGAGTTGTCTTTTGATGCCCTGATCTTCACAAAATTTGTTGAAATCGTTTGAAGTGAACTCCCCTCCACGGTCACTTCTTAAACATTTGATCTTCACTCCGGTTTCAACTTCCACACTTCTTTTAAAGATCTTGAATACTTCAAAACTTTCACTTTTGTATGACAAGAAATAAACCAAGGATTTCCTAGTGTAATCATCAATAAACACCAGTATGTACTTTTTTTTGCTATTTGAGGCTGGAGAAATAGGCCCACACAGATCTGTGTGTATCAGCTGTAGCTTCTCAGTGGCGTGCCAATTGCTCTTCTTGGGTATGGTTTCTCGATGTTGCTTTCCAATTGCACAAGTCTCGCATATGCCATGTTTCTCAGCTATCGTTGGTAAACCTATCACCATTCCTTTATACAACATGGTTCTGATAGCCTTGTGGTTTACATGCCCGAATCTCTTGTGCCAAAGCTGTGTGCTGGAATCACCACTCACTTGAAGACATTCAGGTTGTTGAGATTGCGTTGAGACATACACCGGAAACATCCTGTTTCTTGTCATGCTTGAAGAGATGATCAGGCCCTTCTGAGGATGGAACACTCTGCA